ACTGATCCAATCCGTGTTTAAATGGATTGGTTCGGATTAGTTCCATGATTTAAATGGATTGAATTGGTTTCAATTTTTCAAGAACTATAGATAACGGATTGGTTCTGATTTTATTCCAATCCGGTCCAATCCGGACCATGCTCACCCCTAATATATATTCATTTTATATTTTCAAAATCCAACATTATTCCTTTTGTCTTTCAAAAATCAAACATCAATGAATTTCAAATCACTCATCCTTTACTATCAAAACGCATTTAGGGAAGAGATTCCCAACATTTCAACATATCTCAACAATAATTACATCTCCATAACCTTTCTCAAAAATCCATTTAAAAACTCATCTTTTACATTTCAAAACCTATACCCTAAATCAAAAATTTCATCTCCTAAATCTCAATACTTGACAAGGAACACATAACTAAGTTAAGAATCATACTAGAAGGTTGAAGAAATCCTTACCCCAAGTCTAGAAGAAGAAAAGAACAAGAGTAAAAGTCCGACGAGCACACAATTAATTCCCAACTAAACTTAATTCACCTCATTCAACTCTCTGTCTCCCTCTCGTTGCTCCTCACCTTGCTGATCGCCACCGCTGTAGCTAGTGTTGCTGAATGTTGTTGCCGGCACTAGCCCTACCGGTCACCATCAATCGTCTCCTCTCAGATAGCCTTCGCTCGCTGATTTGGTAAGTTTCTTTTTCTTTTTCTCTGCTCTCTCTCTCTCTCTCTCTGCTTTTTACTATGCTATCTTTGCTTTTGGCTCTCTATTTCATTGTGTTTCTCAAAATTTTTTTTTGGTTGACTTGATTCTATTTGTTGTGAAATAGGTTGAAAATTTCTTATATTTGATGAGCATTTGTAAAAAAAATATAAATGTACTGACTTAACTTAAAATATTGAAAAAATTATGCAAATAGTCCCTATAGTTTATACGATGTGTCAATTTAATCCTTGTAGTTTCAATTTGCTCGATTTTGCCCTTTAATTTAATGGATTGTGTCATTTTAATCCAATAAATAACGGTTGTTAGGTTAATTTAACGAAAAATCTAACAATGTATTAATTTGGTCTTTATATTTTTAACAATATGTCAATTTAGTCTCTGTCAAAATCGAGAAAATTAAAAATACAGGGACCAAATTGACACATTGTTTGGCCTTCCGTTAAATTAACTTAACAACCGTTATTTATTGGACTAAAATGACACAATCCGTTAAATTAAGGGGCAAAATCGAACAAATTAAAATTATAAAGACCAAATTGACACATCATGTAAACTACAGGGACTATTTACATAATTTACTCTAAAATATTTGTTGGGTGTTTGGTTAAAAAAAAAGTAAAAATACAAAAAAAGATACTGATTTAGCTTAAAATATGAATGTAGGGTGTTTGCTTAAAATTTTAAAGTTATTAATTTATTTGCATTTATAGTTAAAACAGCTCAAAATGAGCTTAAAATGATACTTTTTTTAAGCCAACTAATTTGTTTTATCAAGGTGCATTTTACCAAACAGGACCTTTTAAGTGCAGTGTCATTGACGTCTTACAATTCTTAGCAAATTCAGAATGCTATGTCCTGCAATCTTTGATTTGGTCAGCTTCTCAAAACCTGTTGACAGCATTATCATTGTGTTGGGGATATGTGAAGTGTGGAAAGAGCTATATGAATTGATTTTTTGATATTGTGGAGACTATGTTGAATACTAGCATTCTCCCTCCTCTTTCCTTGAAGTTACCATGAATTCCAAGTATAACGATCTTCTGTTTTCGTTCATGGTGGACAAATTATATTTTTATTTTTCAAGTAGTCAATTATATTTTTTTATTTGATTGTGGTTGAATTTTATTTTTTTTTACTTATCATCATTGTAAATTTATATTTTTTATAAACTTCTAATTTGTGTGAACTATCAAGTCAAAACTACCATTATTTGTCAATTGAATCATCAATTTTTGATATAAAAAAATAAAATAATTTCTACTGATAAATTTGTCAATCCACCATCCGCCGTGCAATTTTTATTTTATTGGTAAATCACACTGACTCGCACTATGCACACCCTTAACTATTATGTCAGTTCTGCTTTCAAAAATTATTAAAGGCAAAGAATATAGTCCTCTATGGACTGCCTACGACCATAGTTCTAAAAACTTGCCGATACATTACATATCGGTCGGTTCATATCGAAAAAATAAGACACCGCAACGAATACAAGTCGATATATCATTGAGATAAAAAATCGTAAAAAAATCGACCGACTCTCAGTACATATCTGAGTCTAGAAGGACATTACTTGCCTTTTATGTCTCTATGTATTATATGCGGATTTGCCTCATGGTGCAAGTACCTTTACAATGAAAAATGTATATATATATATATTAGTTAGAGGTTTGTAGATAAATTCTACTTTATTTTTTCTTTTCTTTTTTTAAAATAAATTTTATGTGGATTCTCACATCATAGAAGGCGAAAAAAATGGTGAAATTCGTCCACTGACATATCATTTTAATACAAAAATTATTTTGGTCATCTACCTAACACGAGTGAACAATGTAACTTTTTATTTGATTGATTAAAATAGTAGAGTGGTCTCATTTAAAATAGTAGAGCCAAAACTCACCTCTTACTTCAAAAAATTAAAGTTTTAGAAATTAAAATTTAGAGATAAAATTATTTTTTAGAGATCAAATATTTTTGTTACGAAATGTGTCGTCATTATATTTTTAACAATGAAAATTGGACATTAGTGATGAATTATTATCTTTTTCGAACCAAATTTTTTGTCTAAAAAAATAAACTATTTTGAGACCAAATTATACCATTTTGAGAGCAAATTATTTTGTCCCTAAAAGTGTGTTTATTAGTGACATTTTCAAAATTTTGTTGCCAACAGACTTATTTTTGACTTTTTTAGATGACATTTTAGCGACTATCCTCATGACGATAGAAATTGGTCCTTAAATATTTTTTGCAACAAAATTTTCACTTTTAAAGACCAAAAAATTTGTTGCCAACAGACTTATTTTTGACTTTTTGAGATGACCTTTCAGCGACTATTCTCATGACGATAGAAATTGGTCCCTAAATATTTTTTGCAACAAAATTTTCACTTTTAAAGACCAAAAAATTTGATTTCTAAAACTCTTATATGTTGTAATGTCTCAAGTAATAAACAAAGTCGGATTATTTGTTGGCTTTTTCAAAGTATTTAATTCAATTTGTTTTCGTCTTTAGTAATAAAATTTTAAAAATTATATCAATTTTTTCAAATTATATCAATTATAAAATTATATCAATTTATTTGTTGGCTTTTTCAAAGTATTATATCAATTTTTAAAAATTATATCAATTTTAAAATTATAAAATTTCGTCTTTAGTAATAAAACTCTTATCATTGTAATTTTTTCAAAATTCAGGGTCAAATGTGTCACAATTGAAAAGTTAGGAATCAAAGTGACAGAAGCCCCAAACTATAGGGACTATTAGTGTAATTTACCCATATATATATATATATATATATTAGTTAGAGGTTTCTATTTATTCCTAGATAAATTCTACTTTATTTTTTATTTTCTTTTTTTAAAATAAATCTTATGTGGATTCTCACATCATAGATAGAAGGTGAAAAAAATGGTGAAATACATCCACTGACATATCATTTTAATACAAAAATTATTTTGGTCATCTACCTCACACAAGAGTGAAAAATAATACCTTATTATTTGATTGATTAAAATAACATGACCGCATTTAAAATAGTTGAGTAAATCAGAAACGGATGAACTCACGTCTCAAGTAGTAAATAAAATCAGATTATTTGTTGGCTTTTTCAGAGTATTTAATTCAATTTATTTTCATCTTTAGTAATAAAATTTTAAAAATTATATCAATTTTTAATTTTAATGTTCTTTGAAAAAATCTATTAAAGACGCAAATAAGTCATTTTTTATCAGTGAAAAGTTGACTTATTCTCGTTATTAATGAATTTCACTAAACACAACAAATTCAAATAAAAGTCAACATTATAAACTAAAGGGTTGTTTGGGATGACTTAAATAAGTGTATTTTTTGTCTTTTTACGAAAAGATATGCAGAAAAATAAAAAAGTGATGTGATAAAAAAAAGATAAAAAGATAAAAAGTACGTACTTAATTTGAGTAGCCAAACTTAGCCTAATACTAAAGGAAGCCTTAACCAAGACCGGTAGATTCATGAACCAGTTGCTGTCCTATTGGCCAAAACTAATTTAACAAAGGACATTGAAACATCAAGAAAAGGTCATCAAGGCCATAGTAATGTACAAAATTCTTAAAATATCCATGTATAGAATAATTGGTATTTAAAAATAAATAAATAAAATACTAGAGAGAATTGTTTTGATTTCAATGGTTGAACCAAGAGTTTTAAATAAAGCGTATTGGATTAGCCAAAATTAATTTAACAAATAAAATTAAAACATCATGAAAAGGTCAGAGGTCATAGTAATGTACAAAAGTCTTAGAATATCCATGTATAGATTATAGAATAGGGATAGGCGTGTCTCTCGTTCTAATCTAGATTTGAGACAAGCTATTCAGGTTTGTGGGATTCATAACAGTCTCATTTTGATATTTCAAATCATTAATCTTTTAAGATCTTCTCTGTATGTCATTTATAAAAAAATTAGACCAATTCAATAATCTTAGCCTCATTATTTTATTATTTTTTTAAAACAAATATAATAAATGAAGAGGTTACGAAAATCAATTCGATCTAATTTCTTTTATAAATGATGTATACAGAGGATCCTAAAGAATGAACATCTCGAATTATCGAAACAAAACTGTGGTGGGTCCCAAAGGCCAGACAACACCTCTTTAATTCGAATTACGACCGAAGAGAAACCATTCGAGTAATTGGTATCTTAAAAAAAAGAAAATATTGGAGAGATTTTTTTCTTTTTTTGAATGGTTGACCCAAGAGTATTAAATGAAGCAAATTTTGGAAGTACTTACGCAAGTCCCTCGGCAGATCCAATGGCAATGGTCATTCGACGTGGCCAATCTAACAAACAATCAGCAGCAAGCTGACCATGGAGATGAGTGATCAAACTGTGGTTAGGCATATAATCATAGACAATAAGCCTCTCTTCACCACCAGCATAGAAACCCCACAATCCCAACAAATTTTTGTGTCTAACCCTCCCAAGTACCTCCACTTCCACTATTTCTGCCTTTGCACTCATTGCCTTCAGCCTTTTCACTGCTATCTGCATCATCCAATTAGGCTTCTTCAATAAACCAAAAGATTACTGTTATATATCACTTTTTTTTATTTTTTATTTTATTTTTTTTACGACTTTATATCATAGAGTTGTATAATATAAAATGTTATTTGATTTTATTATTAGAGGCTTATCATAAGATGTTGTAACAGTTAGTCACTGACTTGGTCAAATCAAAGATTTCATTCAAACTTGTTATCCATTAGTTTTAGGAATCATATTTTATCTCATTCTTGTATTATTATCTCTTAATTTTAGGAATTAGTTGTTAACTCATTCTTGTATTTAATTATTGTGAATGTTAATAGAAGATATACTTTTGAACATTCCTCACAATAGTTAAATATAAGAATGAGATAATAACTAATTCCTGAAACTAAGGGATAATATATAATACAAGAATGAGATAACAGTTGATTCCTAAAACTAATGGATAACAAGTTTGAATGAGATCTTTGATTTGACCAAGTCAGTGACTATTACAACATGTTATGATAAGCCTCTAATATGCCCCCACAAGATGGAGCTCGAGAGAGAAGTTCAATCTTGGATTTGAGATCAAGAAAACGAGCACATGGAAGAGGTTTGGTGAGTGCATCAACAAGTTGGTCTGCGGAAGACACATGAGCAACACAAAGGACACCATTTTGCACTTGATCCTAAATGAAGTGAAAATCAATTGCAACAGGTTTCATTATGAAGTGAAACATGGGATTGGAACAGAGCTGAGTGGCACCAACATTGTCACAGTATATAACTGGACAGCAAGGGAGTTATATGCCAAGATCAGTGAGAAGATAACAGAGCCAGTTGAGTTTTGCTATTGCATGAGCCACTGACCTGTATTCAACTTCAGTGGACAAGCGAGCAACAATGTGCTGCTTCTTAGAGCTCCAGGAGATAGGATTGCAACCAAGGTAGATGACATAGGCATTGGTTGAAGAATAATCACCCTTGTCTCCTGCCTAATCTACACCGAAAAAGGCTTGTAAAGCTTGTTGGAAGTCACGATGAACATGATCGAAAAAGGCATGAAGTTGTAATGGTGACTGGTGATATAGTTGTAGGCCTTCATTGATAGTTCCACAGAGATACCGCAGTAGACGTTTAACAAAAGTCCAGTGGGCAGTCATTGGTGTGTGCATATACTGAGAGAGCATGTTAACAGCAAAGGCAAGGTCAGGCCTTGTAATCAGAAGTGTGGGGAAGTGGTTTGGAAATACTCTTCAGGATCATGAGGAACGCTCGTAATCCTCTTCTGGTCACCTGAAAAAGAATAAACGCTCCGGTCGGGGGTGCCGGAATTAGCACTCTGACGGGCAAGTTAGTATCTACACTCGAGGAGGCTTGTATTCTAAGCTAAGCATAGTAGTTCTCACATACCTCTTTAGGACTGAAGATCTTGTATTTATAGTATTCTCTTGGGGCCTTGGGGCCTGGCCCACTCCTAGTCCTTGCCATTTACTTCTACACGGCCCTTGTTTCGTTGGCAGGAATGACAGCTCTTTTATTCGGCCCCTCAATTAGATAGGATCAATGCCGAATAGAAGTTATGTTCTAGACCGGATTGGTCCGCTCCTGTTGATCCAAAATTATTCGGCTCCCACAATTGCCCCCCAAACACCCCACTAGCACCAGTTAGTCGGCGTGTTTGGCTTCTAGTCTAAAGGTTAGAAATTCAGCGGTTATTCCTCTTCCCGATGCATGTCAGAACGCGTACATGCTTCTTGGTCATTATAACGCTTTCTTGCCCCTTCGTACGTTGCCTCCATTTAATGCGATTTGAATTTGTCTCTTCGAATGTATGCTCTGAATACTCGAAGATATCTGGCTTGTCTTCCAGTGGGAGTCCTGCATTCCGCGGTTTCTGCAACCCCTTATTTCTCGATCTTTCCTTCGCCTCCTGTAAGGTTTCTTCTCTTACATTTTTTTGATCCCCCCACTTTATCTGCTTTTAGTTTTTCGTAATCCTTGAGTCAGCAAGAATGGCGAAACGTTTGAAGGAGCTTCTTTCTGCAGATCAAATCTCCGGCTTTCGACGCCACTTCTCTATCCCTGACGACGTCCATCTGTGACTTGTGGCAGACAGCACTACTGATATGGTGAGGGAAGGTAAGAACACAATCGTCTTTCCTCTCATATCAATTGCTGAGGGCGGCATCCGTTTTCCTCTTCACCCATTTTGAGGGCCGTTCTTCGGTACTGGGGCCTCATTTCTTCCCAGCCCAATGTGAACTTCTTCCGCATCATAATGGGCATTGTAGAGATAAATCGGCGTCTTAGAGTTAATTTAGGCATTCCCGCCATTCGGCACTATTATGTCCTAGCCAAGTCTACTGGCCGTCTGGGACGCTACTTCCTTAGAGCTAAGGACACTGACCACCACTTATTGACCATGCTTGCTAGCTCTGGCAAGCGTGTTGATGACGTGATGGTCGATGTCTGCGGTAATTGGGAATTCGACGAAGGGGAAGATCGCCTAGATCCTGTGCCGAGGCAAAAAGGCGAACCAGGTGGCCGACCAAATCACAGTTTCTGTTACTTACATATGTATGTATTCGGTACTTTAGCTCACCTAATCGTTTTGTCTACGCAGGCAGCGACTTGAAGAGAGTGTTGACTTCAGACAACGAAGTTGTGCTCGCTGAAATTAAAACCGCGCTACAGTTCGTCGGTCGTCCAGACCTTCAAAAACAAGGGAGGGCAGCCCACATTCTCCTGCGGTACGAGCCAACCTACACAAGGTTCTCGGTGGCAGACAGCATTCCGATCGCGCAAGGTGACAATCAACTTTTAGCTTTAAAAACTTGAGGCAGATTGGCCTCGAATCGTTTGATTCTGAGCACGTGAAAGGACAAGTTGCCGAACCTATCACCGAGGACCCGAAGGAGTTGGCCGCGAAAGTTGACGAAGCCATCAATTCGGCTTTTGAGGAAGCCGGGTTGAACTCTTCCCGGTGATTTCTCTAAGGATATGGCCAGGGATAATCTTACGCAGATGGCACGAAAAAGGAATGCAGAAATGCCGAATGCATGGCCGCCCGACAAAAGGCTGTAGCCATCCGTTCCGGACTTGTCCCGACTGGATCTATTGCTCCTATTATCCTACAAAAAATGGCTCACGTTGTCGTGGCCGAGACGGAAAAGGAGGTCGAGCGCCCAATTACGGAAGTTCAGCCGATTTTAGAGGATCGGGGGAAAAAACGAGGTGCTGAGGGTGAGGACGGCCCCGAATGAGGCCCCTTGGAAAAATGGCCATGCTTGGAGGAGTTGGCTATGGTTGCTCCTTTTGTTATTGAGCCAAAGATAAAAAATATGTCGATCTCCTCCGAAGCGTCGGCTCGGAAAGATGCAGCTGTGGCACTGAGCCAGGCTGCCTCGGTCTCCTGCCAGCTGACAAGGCGACGTTTTGTGCCGAGCTAGATTTGACGACAATAGCATTAGCCGCCTAGTCTGCTTTTCTGGTACGTGACTGAAGCTTTTGTTTGGTTTGCATTTGATATTTCTTGGCATATGACGATCCTTTGTTTTACAGATGGTTGCAAGGATCGCAGAATTGGACCGCTGCTTGCATGATGCTGTTGAAAGAATTGGCCGTTTGCAATCTGAAGTCGAGGGTCAAAGGAGCAGGGCAGAGTTCGAGGCAATGAGAGCCGCGATGGAAAGTGCGCGAGCCGAGGCTGAGAAGGAAAGGGCAGATTCATGCACCGCCTGGGGCAAGGGCAAATTCATCAATCTATTCGGCTTAAATGCCCCAGATGGCTCATGAGTCGATTATTCAAAATACTTAAAATTCATCAATATATTCGACTTGAATGCCACAATACTCAGCATATGAGTGATAAATCAATATTGTCATAAGATATTCAATCTCTGAAAGCTCAAACACAACAATGATTTTATCCAAAGTACTTAAAGGCAAAACATTCTTCATTAACATACTAGTGGTGGTGAAATAACAAGGAAATTTCATTAATAAATTGAGTGCAAACAGTAACCAATTTATACATGAAAACTACCCTGAACCAACAAAAGTCTAAGTCTACCAAACAAAAACTTACATCGAAAGTAAAAATACTTAACAAAATTGAAATGTGTCCCAGATCAATCCTCGGGGTCAGATTCGAGTGGCTCAACGTCCACTTGCTCGTAGGGAATTAGAAAGGCCAATATAACTCCAGTGGCAGCAAGGGCTTTGAGCCACCCATATTTGAACCCCCGATTCTCGAATTTGGGGACTTCATCTACATATTCCGTGTAGGCGGCGCTTTTTTCAGCCTCAAATGCCGCAGAAGCCTCAGAATCGACTTTTTTCTTGGTCGCCTTGAGCTCCTCTAATTCAACCTTCACCTCGACAAGCTCTTCCTTGGCTAACTTGAGCGATTCTTCGCTCGCATTTGCCCTACTCTCAGCGTCAGAACGGAGCTATTCAGTTGAGCGAGCCCTCTCCGCCTCTGCTTCAGCTCGTGCACTCTTCATTGCGGCTCTTATCATTTCAAACTCAGCCTTACTCTTTTGACCGTCCTCCTCCGTTTGCAAACGATTAATCCTGCCAAGGGCATCATGCAGGCGGCGGCCCAGATTCGCGATCCTGCCAACCGTCTACAAAACAAGTTGGAATCGTCAGATACCTTAACGAAAACAAATTATAGAGAATTTGAGATGGTCACTTACTAGGAGCGCCGACTACGCAGATAGGGCTACGGCCAAAATATATGGCACGATGTGAAAGGCTGCGGTGTCAGTCGGTAAGGAAATTGAAGCCGCCACGGCTGGATCCTCAATGGCTGAAGCATCAGAAGAAATCGGCGTATCTTTGATCTTTGGCCGAACAATAAAAGGAGCACCCACGTTCGACTCTTCTAAACAAGGCCGTTTGGAAGTAGGGCTAATCTCCGACCCAGCCTCTCCCTCGCCACTATGCTTTTTGCCCCACTTCTCCGGAACCAGACGTTCCTCAATCACCTGTTCAACCTCTTTCCCCGCTTCAGC